TGGAAGAAGATTCTAATTCTTCTTGGCAGATCGACTTTCCTGTCGGCAGCATCTTCAAAAGTAATATGTACTCTTTGAGCGTAAAAGCTGAAAAGTTAACTCTTTCAATGGGAAGATCATTCAATACTCTTGATTTCTTCTTCCCGTTGTTCTACTCATCTCTCACCTCTTATTGATTCGTGTCATTTTTGGTAGCATTGAGCAACCTCTTCTTTGTTCTTGCCCTTCTTCGTTCCGTTGCATTACCAAAGTTTGGTCAATATTGCCTATATAACTGTCGTATCTTTTCTTCGCAAGGTTGAACCAAGGATAACTTTGGTTCTTAATGTGTCAAAAAAGTTCTTCCTTGAATATTCGAGAACATGCTTCCGCCACGTCGTTTGTTCAGTGAACTAGTAATGAGTTAAATGAGATATTCTTAAGCTTGACAGATGTACTTGCTATGAGAAGAGCGTAGGATTCTCGCAAATCAAAATAACAGAAAACATTATTGCAACATTCAAAGTATATCTGAACATATTTCAGACTCTGTTTAGGAAGTTATTTATCAATACATATCTGTTTTTATCAAAATCTGTAACAGTACTTGCAAAAAATAATAAGAGTGACCATCAAAGAATTTGCATGCCCACGAGCACCTAAGGGATACAAACTATGGATACTGAGTAGCTCGCTAAAAGTTCCTTTCAGTTCGGATATCAATGAAAATTATGACAATGGACATGTATCAGTGAACCAAGTTTGAGGAAACAATGACAGGATCGCGTTAGAACTGAGCCCCTAAATCCAACCACCAAAAGGAAGGGATAATGTAGCATCGTAAATCGTATTTTTCTCTGCTGATCAGCTATGAATTCCAACATAATCCACTAACACGGCAAGGCGCAGAGATCTCTTCAATTCTTCAAAGAATTTTTTTCAAGAATCGAATAAGAAATGAGGACTGAGCCCCATATCTATTTTTATTTCAATAAGGCCAGTATCTATATCATTCCTTTTACAGCAAAAAAGATAGCATTAATCACAACATCTTCTGTAATCAGCACCTCAACAAGGACATTGGCTTGGGTAAAATAAGCCTTCAATAATCTTTTAGCTGATAAAACTTGAACTGGAGCACATAAGACTTCTTCGAAGAGGACCACGTTCATATTATCTGGAGGCAAACTCGAGGTAGGCCAGTATTCTTTCGATTATCAGTACCAACAGCCTGAAATACATCTTCAGCTGATGAAGTTTTTCCATCAACTGCAGGGAACAGCATAATGGCAACAGATCAGCTTCGAACAGCGGAAATGCCAGGTTCTAATTCTTAGAGACGGAAACAATGTCTTTAGCAACAAGGCCAGAATGACGTTATGCTGCAAGATTGGATAGAAAATGGATGAGAATGGTGGCCAAGCGCGACAATTATCATAAGATGTAAATCAACAAAAGTTACAGCCCAATGCTACGAAAATAAACGGCAAGAAAAAGGAAAGTTTTAATCGCTGGAATGTCGGTCTGCAGTAAACATTCATGGTGGGATTATTTCTGGCTGCCTTGTTTTCATGCAGTTGATGGTGGGGCGCTGATCTTAATTATATTTATGCCATGAGTCAGAGGTGCCTTATTTTTAAAGGCTGAGTCGACTCCGCTATGTGACAAGCATAGCTTGTAGCATTCTGTTTTTTCCCTAGAGTGGTACTCATTTATCAAGTTCGAGAAGAATAAAGATGAGTGACCAGAAATGGGCTCAAATCGGGACCTCTCGGTTGGGTTCTGAATCTGACGTTCTAAAAGATTGGAAAACACCGGTCTATGAAAGTAAAGTCGAGGACATCGTGCTGGAAATCGGCTTTTGCGAACAACGACACCCATCTTTCAACATTAAAGAGACGAGGTTAACAAAAAGTTTGGCATAAAACAAGTGGAATTGAAATCAACAAGTCTGTTAGCTTCTTGAGTTTAATTTACAACGAACACAACGACGGAAGTTACCACTTAAATGCCTTTTATGTCGTCAATTTACATATAGCCAGACTTTAACAAATTGGCTTATTTTCTCAGTTTACAAGACGAATATCAAAAAAACACGTTATCGTTGAACATCTAGATGAAAGCCTGACAGCGTGAAAAGATTTATGACGTATATACTTGGATATTTTACCCGTTGTAAATCCATGTCCAATGCAAACCTTGATATCCGTTCTAGAAGCGGACGACTGTGAAAATAAGGATCACGCTCTTTTGGTAAGTTCCATAGAGCGCATATTATGTTCCATAGTTGTGCGATGGCCGAAAGGTTGTTGTGAACTTCAAAATTGCCGGTTAGTGAAATAATGGTTACCACTGAGCGAGAGACCTTTGCGGATAGGGCAAAGGTGGTAGGAAAATCACTATTGCCCGATCATTGGAACCGACTACTTTCCTGATTTTTTAAGATTAAGCTATATCTATAAGAAGGATATTATGGGGGTCGACAAAAGCCTTAATTTCAAAGTAGTGCACTCTCAGACTTTCTCGTACCATCTGGTTCATTAAGAGACTTGATGAATGCCACACTTACTTTGGATTGTTTCAGCCGACCAATGTTAATGTTCCCAATAGGGTCTTTCGAAGAGGCCAAGCACAACATCCATGCACGTTCCTTATAGATAGCGAACTGAAGCTTACCGATGGTCAGTCGTTCCACTAACAGTTCGATCCAAAAAAAGAATAACAGTTATTTTAGACCAGACTCTGGTAAGCCTGATGTGGGTCACTTTCGTTTCCGGCTTTTTTTGTTTTGTTTATTTGTTCGCTGTTTATATCCGGAGTTTTGACAAACTGTCGAAAGCCTTAGGGTTCGCTGAAGTAAATTTCACTGACTGCCCAAAGAGTAAGTTCTGAAGTGCGTACTGATTTGTGCCGCATAACGACGACCTGTTTACACCGCTTAAACGAGCCCCCGCTTCACATACACGCGATCGATAAACGTCGTCGTAGGAATGGGATCTATTTCACCGGAAGAATAGCAACATAACACTTGGCTTGTGAAAGCCTAGACATCTTTGATTGCTACAGACGGCGATAAACTTTTCAATTTCTCTCTGGCAAAGTGCTCGCTGCAGCGATCATGACTGCGATTTAGTAGTCATGGTGGAAAAAACCATGCCACGCAGCACGTCGAAAGTATTCCCGAAGACCTGAGGCTAACGTTAAGTGGCGTCAAGCTAAACGCAGCCGATTTAACACCCAAAAAATTACGGTACTCCATTCATTAATAACGCGTAATTGAAGTTTATCGGATTTCCTTTCAAAACTACCAGCCGAGCCAAGTTCGTTCAGAGTTTATTCGTGGCTAACTGTCGCTTTGTCTCTGGAAATGGGTCTGCGCAATTCCTAAAAATTAAGTACAAGCTGCCGAAAAGAGTAGCACGCTGAGGTACTCGCTGAATTTGGAAGTATAGCTTGGAATGAAAAAAAATACCTGGGATGCAAAGTGCAGGAGTGGTAGAAGACCAAAAACCGATGACCTCGTTAAAAAAACAGGGAAACGACTAAAATGCGTAGTGCAAGTGTAGTATTGTGTTGACCGTTTAGCTATCAGCGTCTTTAGCCGCTGTACAAAACCGCAGACTGCTTAGAATTCGTGATTCCGTACGATGTGTTGAGAAACGAAAAAAATAATCCACAAATAAATGGTAAATAAATATTTCCACATCAACAACAGGCAATGAATAATATTCTCATTAGTCACTTTCAAGCAGTGCGACAGAGAATCCCAGACGGAACTGCACTAATCCAGTAGCGCAAGGATTTTCTGGACGGACTTTAACTTGCATCCGGAGTTTCTGTGTACGTGAGTTTCTACTTTTTAAGTACGTACGTTTGTTTTCCTGCATGGAATTGAATGCCGTCAAGTAAGAAAATGTCGAAGAGCATGAAGCATGAAATGTGAATAAACAGTTAGTCACTTAGAGAGTTTCGATAAACTAGAATAAATGAACAAGACGAGGATACAGTCATTGAATTCTTAATATTTCAGAGCTAAACAGGTATTACGGTAGTGCCAGAAGGAAACATCTTGCTCGAACAAAACCAAACGTTGTTAAACGAATTTATACGCTGTGGCTAGCATTGCTGATGCACAAATGTGCGGTGAAAACAGAACGCGACCATCGACTAGTTTGAAAGCAGAAATCGTGGGACCAGACGACGTCCCTTTGTAAGTGCTTCGAAATGTCGTCGATTGGATGATGAGGCAGAGCGCTGAAAGCCTCAATAGAGAAGGACGAAGTTAAGCTGAAGAACGAGCACACAGTATCCAACCATACACCTCATGGATCTCGATTACTAGACATTATGGAGCTCAGCAGATCCAGTGGTAGCCCATAGCTATTAACAGAAGCAGGTCAAACCATCGCTGAAAGAACAGGTTGAGACTCAATCGAAATAAAAGAAAAGTCATGAACGAGGCGGAAGGAAAGGAAATAACCGATCTCTCTTCGCATGGAGAAAGTTTGGAAGAAGCTAACCTGCATAAATGATGGCTGCTACGGCATGGAGGTGAATAGAGGGTCTGTTTTAGAAAGGGCCACATTTGGAAGCATATAGAACATCTAGCCTCATCAGTGCATCTAGCTGGTGACCAGAATAATGATCTTCAAATCGTCTTTCGTCTCAATTTAACCGTACAGCCTTAAAACAGCGACCCTGCTGCAAATACATGAGCATCTTCCTGTAACGCTGTCTATGCCATATCCTCGACCTTCGTTGGTCGCAACGTGTATCAAACTAAGAGGTACTTGCCACAACCGAACTACGGGAAATATCTTCATTCTTGAGGAAATACGAGAGTCATGGTTTGACAATACCTCGTACAAGGACAAGCCATCAGTCGCTCAAAAAACCCTATTATGGAATTCAACCTACCGATACCGTCGCATCGGTAGCCAACTTGAAATCGGGAAGGATCTGCTCAAAGCAGGCCTGCAGTCGCTTAGAATTAACTCATTTGCAAATGCATTAGAACATGTGCAAATTTATAACTCTGTATGTTGTACAGTGGATGTCATTTGATTAAATATTACGGCTATGCCGTGGAGCTCAATTGACGATGACATGCACACATGTGCCACAATACCTCGCAACCGCGGCCAGTTTAAATCGTAGCCCTAAATATCTAGGAACAAGAAGCAATACGATTACTGTCCAATTCAGTGTGACGATTTGTACACTTTCTTGTGTAACTGGAGAAAACGATTTCAAAAGAATTAGACAGAATTTAATTTCTGTCTAAACACTACGGATAAGATTTATTGAACGACCCCTCTCGATGGAACTACCATTCTAGAAATAACTGATTGAACCCGCTGTTAGTCTGAGACCAAAAACCATATCTTGAGCTCGTTTTGAAAATAGGAACAAAGCACAAGTTCCAGTGAATAACGCTGTAGGTTTTCTACAACTTGTTTGGAAACTATCTGAAACATGGCAATCCTGAACGACAGGATACGACGATTACATTTGCCAAACAGCTGCAGATGTTGCCTTTGAAAGAAGCAAGCATCAAAAAAACAGCGCGGCACCATAAGCACAGTGAGAAGAAGAATACAGTAAACGCTGTCCCATCATGAAATGACAAGCACTGGCAAAAGTTTTGTTTATGAAAGTTACAAGGCATGACCGCGTTATGGTTCTTTAACGGTTCTTCTGTAGTGTTTGGCTTACCTCTGCTATGGCAGCGCTAAATCCGGCCATACAAAATCCAAGTCGGTGATATCCCCATCGATCTTAAACGAGAAAAAGAATGGCTAATGGCTGACTGGTGGGCGGTGTGATGAATGTGTAGCGCCTACTTTCTTTCCGACACGGTGAATATTCCCTGAAAGACGTAAAAGCATCCTTGGCAACGAAACACGTGCCCACTGGTTCCTTGCGGTCGAACGTCGAGTAGAAATAGGTGTAGCGGGGGGCGCAGGCCTAAAAATGAGGGTAAAGTGTGATGACGTCAGCATAGGCTAATGAGAACGCTTACGATGACAGTGTCGTCGACTCTGGAGCTGACCACGGTTGCACCGAACCACTGGTCAGATTTGGAGTCAATTTGCAGAGACACGGAACCGTTCAGTGCCCAGTTATGATCTAAATGAAAAACAAAAAAATGTTATTTTAAAATGCACGCGTAAAACTTGCGCTGCGCTGTTTGTTGGCGCCAACGGTTTTTCAGTATGTGGCCTAGATTTTGCAGCTCCCGCTGAGGAACAGGTGACCGCCTAACAGGGGGCAGGGGTGACATAACGTTGCGGCAATAGCAGGTGCGCTGTGTCATGCGCAATGCGACGGTTGCAAAAACACCTCCAGCTCTTGCCTTCTGCTGGCCATGTATCAGAAGCGAGATCGATAACTTATGACGAACCATTAGAAATGTAGTTTCGATTGTTCCATCACTTGTTGTTCGACGATTGGACTCGACGATTTGGACCTTGTTGCCCTGGCAGCGAAAAAGTAAGTGCAACAAACGAGGCGCAATGACTACTCTTAACCTTTGCTGCGAGGGATCCGTTGTCTACGAATATAGTTTTGCCAAATAGCATGGAGGGTAAAGAGAACAACTCACAGCGGTGAGTTCAAAGTCAAAGTTAAAAATTTGAAAGCGATTATGAAAACCGGCGCACGATCAAACGTACCTGTGGTATCGAAGAGTATCTGAGTGCAACGCAGGTCTTCGGTGGAGCAGCGATAGACGGCGCCGCTGTTTTTGACCCTCGCTTGGC